CCAGATATATTTGATGATCATAACTACAGAGACCATACATATCATGTCGGGTTAGTTTCTTATTCCTAAGACATTCTAGAAACTTGTCATGTCGAAGCTCCTTTTTGACCACGCATTTCTTAACACCCTTAGCCTTCTGGATGCCATGCTTTTTCTCCCAATACTTTACACCTTGAGATTTTCTAAATTCTTTCTCTTCTAACTCTTTCTCAAAATCTGCATCTGTTTCAGGAGTTTTAGGATCATGGCCTGCTGGAAGGACTAAATACATCTTTGGCTTTAAACATATTGATTCGCCTATTGGGTTCCCCTTTGTCTCATCCTTCATTAGAAATAAGTCTCCTAAATAGTTAAGATCGAAAATATCTGGTCTTTCTGCTCGATCTTTATATATGTCTTCAGTTTCTATCCACATTATGAGTGAGTCTGTATCTGTATAAAGTAGACGGGCCTTATCTCCATAGCGAGGCTTTATGTAACCGTACCAAAAGTTATACATCATGGCCTTGCTAATGTCGAGAATTGCCTGCCCTACATAAATTGGTTTATTTAGAGTTACTGTTCCTTTTAACATGTGGACTGCTGTGATGCCCCCTTCGAATGCTTTAAAGCCTACAAATAATGATGAACTTGCTAGGCGCCTGATTTTTTTATCCTCTTCTGTTCGAAGTAGCTCTACTCTCATATGTTTACGGACATTCTCCATCTGTTTACCGAATACTGCATTATTTTTTAGCTTATAATACATTACCCCGAACTCATCTCCATTGGCTTTTGCTATTTTGCGTTTACAAATATTTTCCTCAATATATTCTTTCATCCATGGAGACTGCTGGAATTTGAGAGCGCCGTGGATCTTTGTAACCTTTATCCCAAATTTCATGTATAGCTGGAGTGCACGATAATGGACCACGTAGTTCTTTTTGGGATAAAGGGTTTGGACGAGCTTTTCTCCTGTTGTATATTTTCCGCCCCCAACTGCTTTATCATATACTAATCTTTCATTATATGGACTTAACCAGTTTTCAGGTACTATTTGCTTTTCTGGTGCC